TTTTCCATGTGTTTCTTAAAAACATCTTGTTCCCTTCTCAGTGCTTTTGCTTCAAAGAAATTCTGTTCTTTTACGCAGGATGTTCAATTTCCTTAGTTGAGATACTTGTCTTCTCTTTATTCTACTTATTCTCTTTTTTCAATGTCATGCTTTAACACAAATAAACATACACACACAAACACAGTCTTCCAGTCCAGGGTGCCTTTGATGCACTGAAAAATTTACTCCCTGGAAGAGGATAATCTTTAACACAATAGCTATCTTGCTACTCCAGTGTTCTCGTGACCTGACAGTGGTCATCAATAGAACAAGAATTACTGAGGAATCATTTGACATCTTTGTGAGCTTGGTGCTCTAGCTGAAGACACTCAGCTTGATGTTGAGACTGGAGATACACAGAATAGCTAGGAACTACTAATGCCTGAGTTTCCTACAGAACACACCCGATGCTATGCGTCATTTACTGCACAACATGTATTTTATATAGCTATAATGGAAAGAGTTTGAAAGAGCCTATCTCTGTTAGAGTGATTATATATTAGTGTTTTAGAAGTGCTTCAAAGAAGATTGATAGAGCTCTAACATATGCAGCCGTCTCAAGCAGGCACACAACAGTATGGCAGAGCAGAAAACTTGTATTGTCTCACGTTATAGCATATGTGTATATATAGGTATATACACATATATGTATAGCATATATGTTTGAAAGACTCAGTGACTGAGGCAGCCCTTTCCGTCACTCCACTGCACTGTTTAAAGCCTGACCTTGCATCTGTCTTCAGTGTAAATAATTCTATGAATATTTGTTGCCATCTTTGTGAGTTCAGGTCACTGAGTGACACGTAGGATCTATGTTCAATTTCTTATTGGTAATTATTATATTTACATAGTATAAAAGAGCTATTGTGAGGCTTGCTTCACCCATGTTTATTTTTGAAATTATTGTATATACTAACCATTAAAATATGCAGCATTGTGAATCACTTCATTTCCTGCTAAAATGGAGATTCTCATAACTAATGACAAAGTGGAAAAGAAAGAAGATCATACCTATCTGAAACTTTGGAAATTTCTGTGGCAGAAGCAACAGCATTTCTGTAGTTGGATTTTGCTAGGATAGCAAATGAATGCCTCTGTGATAGGTTAATCTATTAAAAACAGAGTAGGATGGTGAGAAACAAAGACAAAACTAACACCTCTCCACCCCCCTCTCTTCCCAGGCTCAACCTCACTCCTTCCTCATGACTCCTCTACACTCCCATACCCCTGGGCAGCAGAGGGGCACAAGGAATGGAAATCGTGGTCTGTTATCACATGTTGTCTCTGCCAGTCCTTCCTGCTCATGGGGTCCCTCCCATGGGATACAGTCTGTCATGAACTCCAAGGTGGGTCCTTCAAACAGGCTGCAGTTCCTCATGAACTGCTCCAGCATGGGTCCCCCATGGGCCACAATTCCTGCCAGAAAGCCTGCTCCTGTGTGTGCTCCTTTTCACGGACCACAGCATGGAAATCTGCTCCACTATGGTCCTCCATGGGCTCCAAGGGAACAATTTATATTACCATGGTCTGCACCACAGTCTGCAAGGGAATCTCTGATCTGGTGCCGGTTACTTCAGCCCGGCACGGTGTGGCAATTGGAGTTGCCATGGAAATGCAGTGAGACTGTAAACAAAGCCCGCGCTGGCCGGTATTTAAGGGCTGCTCCGGGCTGGTGGCCCGGAGATGGGGATGCAGCACTTCGCTGAATCAATCGCTCCACGCGTCGCGGGACCTCGGGAAGCGT